TATGCTCTCCTGCCCCCTTTGATCCTTGTCGGGACTACCTTCTTTTGGGCTTGGAGGATCATCTCCATAAGGAGCGACCACTCCCCTTAAACACCTGGCTCTCCTCCCCTCTGAGACTTCAGCGCTTCTCCAACTATCCTCCTTAGCTCATTGAAGTTTGCCCTCCTAAAATCTAGGGCCACAGCCTGACTGCTTGCCTTTGCCTCCTTGCGCTGAATGGTGAATTCCAGCAGGCAGTGGTCACTGTCGCCCAGGGGGTCAAGCACCCACAGCCCCCTCACCAGGTCGTCGCCCATGGCCAACACCAAGTCCAACAAGGCATCCCCCCTGGTGGGGCTGTGCACCTCCTGGGTTAGATGAAGGTCCTGGACTCTGTCTAAGAACCTACGGGAGCACTCAGACCTGGCTGACTGCTCCTCCCAGCAGATGTCTGGGAAGTTCAGGTCCCCCATGACTACCACATCCTTAGCCTTCGCTACCTTGGTGAGCTGACCCAAGAATTCCTGGTCAAGCTCCTCTCCTTGGTTGGGTGGTCTATAGTAAACTCCCACCGTTATGTCCCTTTCCCCTCTTTTGCCTTGAACCCTAACCCAAAGCACTTCAGAGTGCTTCTCCCCTGACTCTTTACTAATTAGCGAGGATGTGTATTCCTCCTTGATATAGAGTGCCACTCCCCCCCAGCCCCCTTTCCTATCCTGTCCCTCCTGTACAGCCTATAGCCCTTGACATTCACCGCCCAATCATGCTTGGAGTCCCATGATGAGCCTTAGCCACTTAGACAAACACATGTACATTTTACATTTAAGTCTGTTGTGTTGGACAACCAGAATTGGGATCCAGATTGTCCTTGACACAAAGATGACTTGTATATTTTTCCTTCCCCCTTTCTAGCTTAATTTGTGGGGTGGAGGGAAGAAAGGGAGGTAAGCAGCACTTTCTACCTGTCACACAGAAATGGATACTTTCTTCTACCAGAACTGGTCTTTTAAGAACCAAAAGAGTGCAAAATGGAGGAACGTGAGGAGCAATGGAGTAAAAATAGCCTTCCTTAAGTATGAAGGAGCATGTAAGGTAATAAAATACTAAAGGACGAATACAAGTGTAAGGAACAGTAAATCATTTTTGCAGCTTGACCAGTATAAACGGTGTTCTTCTTAAACACAAGAAATAAGTTTTATAAACCAGGGGGTGTTTCTGTTTTGTTTTGGGGTTTTAATGAATTTCTGTATCAGATTGCTGTTGTGGTGGTTGTTGTTGTTGTCTCTTGAACAACTTTCAAAATTAGATTGAGAAAACAAGAGCTGAAATTCCGTAAATTCCCAGTTAAGAACTATAATCTTTACACTCTCATACAGAGGAAAGACTCTTAAATAAACACCAGATTTTTCTCTGCATGTGTCTCAACAGTTGATTCTTATGAGTTGAATTCAAGCTTCTATGTATTTTTGCTGTAATAAAAGGACTGCTTTTTCTTTTTTGCAGGTACCAGACTACTATGATATCATCAAAAAACCTATTGCCTTAAATATAATCCGTGAAAAAGTAAATAAATGTGAATACAAGTTAGCATGTAAGTAATATTTACTGAAGTAATGTATAAACTATTGTTTAAAATAGATTTTATTCTCTCCAGAGAAGCAGAGCTGATGGTTTGAAAAACCATTCTAAGAAACTTACGAATATTTTTCCATGTAGTAATCATTATTCCTAGTACTTGTATTAGTAAGGTGTGTGCCACCTGTCATACTTAAGACATGATTAATCAGTTAATAATATCTTAAGTTTGTAATTGGGCTGCACATTAAAGTATTTAATGGCATTATAAAACAAGGAACAAGCCACATGGTTATTCCACAAAAAAGTGTGATAACTTTTTGTGGCTGATTCCTATCACACCATTAATTGTGGCCAGATGTACCCTTGTGGTTAGGAGCCCTGTCAGTTGTGGGAGCCCAAATGAGCTGACCAGGCTCTCAGCTGTGCGAGTACATGGTACACCCTTGCATCTGGAAGACCATCAGCTGCAGTGGCTCCCAGATACAGGAGCTTGCTACTTGCCGGTGCAGGGGGAAGCCCAGGATTATGTCTCATTACCTACACACCAGTAATGAGGCATGGTGAGATCTGATGCAGTTGTGGGAATTGAGCCTCCTGCAATGCACATATGGATCATGCGTCAGATCCCATTTACATGCACATCTGGCAGGGGGCCTACGGAATGATTAATCATGAAATTTAATTTCTCAAGCTTTAGGGATAGTACCTTTAAAGCAAAATAGGTGTGGCACATTGAAACATGTAGGGTAGTTGTCATTGTTGCTGCTGAGCTGTAATCTTTGAGAAACAGCCTCTGATTGTTGAACTGTTAATCTAGAGCACTTGCTTGTTCAGCACTTGCATATGCTCTAAATTCACAGCATTAGTATTGGTAAAATTTCTTTAGGTTAGAATGATCTTTCTGGATGCCATCCATCTCTGCTTGAACTCTATAGAGTGCCACAACTGGAAGTGTAAAGCATAGCATCTGTGGAAAATACCCTAACATAATTTCTTCATTTCATTTTATTTTTTTTATTTTCCAGCGGAATTTATTGAAGATATTGAGCTCATGTTTGCAAACTGCTTTGAGTACAACCCTCGCAACACAAGTGAAGCAAAAGCTGGAACTAGACTTCAAGCTTTCTTCCATGTTCAGGCTCAAAAGCTTGGACTCCCTGTGACATCTGGTAATGCAGACCATGCTGCTCCAGCTGCAAAGAAGTCACGAATCTAACCTCTGCCTTCCAAAGGATGTTTTGAGGGAAACTTATATGCATAAAAATGAAACATTTAAATCATGCAGTCATCCTATCTGTATAAAGCAATAACAACTGTTTAACCACCTTGAAGTGGGGCCTGCACTATATTCTCAATTTAATATTAAGCACTCAGGAGAATGTAGGAAAGATTACCTTTGCTACAGTTTTATTCAGTGTCTAATAATTTTGATAGATGTACTGGATACAGTACTGGTTTACAGAGGTTTTGTACATTTTTAATACATTCATGTGTCCAAATATATCTTCCAGAAACTTTTTTTTTTCCTGCATTGGATGACCTCGTTTCATCCTGTAGATTTTCTAGAAGCTGTGGTATTGTGAAGGCTTTATCAACTCAGATAAAATCTTCTACTGTAACACAGTTGAAGAAACTGTGTATATGTTTAAAACTTGTTTTGAGCATATCTTATCTACACTACACATGAATGAGTACAATTTGCATATCCTTCAAAGTACTGTACCAGTGCTGGCTGGAGGTATTGAGTCTGAGTTTAAGTAGATATTTATTTAGTATTCGAAGTAATTTGTGAATTTGTTTTGTATTTATAAAATTTGTACCTGGGGATAAAAACAAAAAAACAGAGTTCCTTAACTTTTTTTTATTATTATTTTTCTGTGTTTTTGTTATTTCTAACTTTTTTTTCTGATGATCAATTGATAATGTAATACCTTCCCCTTTCCATGGAGCAGTTCTTCTAGCAACAACTAACTTACAGGACTGTATAATGAATTTATATGACAACTTTCTAAGTGTACAAATAAAATGATACATTTTTCAATGTATTCTGAGCTTCTGGAGTTTACTGCAATCAGCCATCCAACTCTCTAATCTGCATCCTTAAACAGTCCTCATTTCCAGTGACTTCAAGTGAGAGGTTGTTTGAGAGAAGATGGCAGGATTTGGCTTCGACAAGAATGCATTCTAACAGCATAGCAATCATAAGGGGTATTTTAAAGTCTGTATTTCCAACAATCTTGAAAATGGATGGATATATCCCTTTGTCTTGTCTTTCCTGTGCTATTCTACAGCAAACTGTTGATGCAGATACCTTGAGGATGTATGTGAACTGCATGATACTTTAATGCTCAGGCTTTTTATTCTGTCAAACATGTAAAATCTTGTAACTTTAGTTAGCCAGAAGCTTTCTTAGAACATTCTTGTAATTCTTTTGCTCATCTTCTAAAGGTCTCATTCTGGCATTTTGAATTAAATATTTATTTTTAAAATTCAAATGAATTGGTGCCTTTAAAACACAGGTGTAAAAGAGGCAGGGTTCTTGGGGTTGGCTGTTTTGGAGTTTTTTGTTTTTTGTTTTTTTTATTTGCAGTATTTCTAGGGCCGGGGGCAGACCATGGTAGTCAGGAATGCAGGACTATCTCAGGGCAGAGAGCAACAGGGCTTAGGGAAAAATACTGAATGACCCCAGATCTGCTGACTATGTAATACATATCACAAGAGTTTTCCTGGTGCCTGTGGTGCTAGATAAAGCAGTAGATCCTTCACTGAATGTCATTGCCCCCTTCCCCTGCAGCCCATTCTTGTGGTAGCTCTGATTAGTTATGGGAGAAAGCTATTTGTGGTGGTAGGCTCAGAGTAAATGTTACCTTGTCTCCACAGCAGCATGTAGGCTTTTTAAGAGGTTGTAGCGGAGGGGGGATGTGGAATGGAGAAAGAAAGTCAACAGAACAGGGGAAAACTTCACTTCCACCAAGACAGTTGTTGGCCTATATCCTCTCTCTCCACTTACACAAATATAAATATGGAAGGGCTAGGATGATGGCTTATAAAAGAGGAACAATTTTTTGTTCTATATCGGGACTTGAACACGGATGGAGTAACTGTCTTTTAAAAGAAAAGTAAAATCTTAAAGGCATTCTACATTAATGGCCTTGCTATTTGCACCTGGCATTAAGCCCCATACATCTGATGAAAGGCATTTTGCTAACACCAAGTTCTGTGCCCTGTGTATTGAAATAGGACTCTGATGAACTGAAGGGCAGATAAGGCGATTTAGCAAAATGCATGTATTGTTCCCAGACTAAAGCTGTAAACTATTCAACTGAGGCTTTCAGCAATTCCAACCCTGTAACGGTGTCTACATTCACATACTACAAATGGGGAAAATGAACAAGAACAGGATCAGAGTCCAAGTACCAGAAATGCAAGCCCCACAACACTATTGAGTTCAATTGGAATTACATGCATCTAGAATCTGTGATGGTAACCAGATTCTGCCACCTTAACTCACTGGAGCAATACTTAATTTTTTTTCCCCCAAGGAGTCTCACTGAAGTCCATTACAGTTTAAATTTCTGCTTCATGTGACTAGAGGTGGCCTAAGTAAGAGGATACCACTATAGAGCCCTAAAATAGTTCAAGGAGCTGAGTGGCAGTTGGTTCTGCCCTCTCTTGTATATCCTTAACTGTGTGTGGGGACAGGGTATACAACCCTCAATATCTGATTTTTCAAGGATATTCTGTGATCACCCAAGGGCATCCCCTTAGTATAAGGCCAGCTCAAGGAATTGCCCCCAAATGAGGGAATGCCAAGATAAAATAAGCATGTTTTAGAAATCTGTTGCAACACTGAGGGGATGTGATATTTCAAAACAATTGGAAAAAAGAAATTTGGAATCAACCTCTACATTTGTTTTTAAGCTTAGAAAGTCAGAGGGTCAGTATTCAGTCAGGCATTCATATGCATTCCTACCCACCCCCTACCAAGACTGGAAATACTCCATCAATGTTCCAGTACCATTGACTTCTTCCAAATTGAAATCCTCCCTTATCTTTAAAATATAAACCAAAGAATCCTCCCTCATGCCTTCCCCATGTGTTTATGACCATTCTACTGTAATTAATACTGGAACACATGGGGAAGGAGTGTGTGCAGCAGAAAAATAGTGTTGTGCTCCTTGACGCACATGGACTATATACTTTGTATCTTCTGTGGAGTAAGCAGTGTGGGGCATATATGACATACTGACCAGCAGGTGTCACACACATTTGGGAAATTCTTGACTAATGTGACTTGTCCCTGCTGATGTCAGTGGGACCAAAGACATAAAGTGGCAACCAGTTATGTGTTTAAAGGCCAGGTAGAGAGAGGCATTTACCATGTGAGCTGTCAGGTCATCTGTAGTAACTTTTTTCTGTCCACTCCTGTCCTGTTGTAAGTGAAGTTAAACTTAACCCTCTTTATTCAAGGATAAACTGCTTTGGTTCTATTTCAGTTTCCATTTACTTTGGGATACAAGCAGACAAAAATGGTTGCAACAGCTTTGATGCATTCACAATAAACTCCTTTGGTCAATATCATAGTTGTCCATATCCAAACTTCAAATTACCCATGTGCCTAAGAATGTGCAGGACTGGGGCCACGAGCAGTACAGCAGGGTGAGGTGCAGATGAGGGGCCTATATTAGATACTAATGTTTGAAAATGCTGGCTTAAGTAAGACCAAGTCAAATGGGATCCACCAATCACTAGGTCAGAGGATATTGAGAATGACCTATAAGAAGTGCTCTCCCCAGTTTCTAACCATCCAAACTGTGAATTCTAATCTTGTTAAACGTGGCTGTATATTTGCAGGTCTTTTAAAACTGGATTGTGAAGTGCTGTATATTTTTTAATAAAAAATTTAATTCGAAGTGTTGTCGGTCTTTGTTTTGGGTCTTGAGCAAGATTTTTTTTAAGTTAATGTTTATATTCAGTTCAGGTTTCAGTTGGTTTGTTTCAATTGGAAACCCAATTATGTCCAATTTTATCACTGTCTTCAATGTTCAAAAAAACCCTCTGGTCACAAAAATGCCCTTTTAAGGAGATTATAGATTTCTAGAGAGCTGTGTCAGCCTTCCACTTTTGTCTTCAGTCACTGTAATAAATTACCTAGCCCAGCTGCTGCTTGGTCTTTATACTTCCCACTGTGCACCTGCATCAGAAGGGCCCTGCTTTCCTCCACAAGGTATAGCCACAGCTCCATCCAACCACGTCTATTGTAGGCTGGTAGTGTGCTACTTATTGCAAAGGGATGCAACATTGTATGTTCCCCTTCATATGGAGACCAAGCTCCTTTTCCCCTTGGCTGCATCCAGAGGTATAGTACCCAGGATTTCCTGGTAGCAAAAAAAAAAAAGCTCCAGGAAAAAAAGTGGTACAGAGCACAAAAATAACATGCACTGGAACAACTGGAGGTTTGGTCCTCCAGTGAGATGCTCTGGTTGCCAGCCAAACCATCTCTACTGCTCCATTTGTGCCCCTGCTGTTCCAGCATGCCAGGAGCTGGGCAAGGACACTTTGCCCACAGTGGGACAATGTGTCCTGTAACAAAGCAGATGTGCAGGGGACATGTAGGCATGCACCCCAGACATGTTGTGTGATCCCCCCCACACCACATGGGCTCCTGACGCATTGTGAGCCCACCTAACCTTACAAGCACCCCCACTACATCACATGGGCACCTATGGGCTCCTGACATGCTCTGTGGATATGCTGCACCATGCAGACTCCCAGCACATGCAAATAATGCATGTCCCACAGCATGGTGGGTGATTCCCACTGCACTACACTGGCATGGACAGTGCACAGGGTCCCTAGATCCCCTCTGAACAGTCTCCCTCAGCCCTACAGACTATGATGCTCCACCCCACCCCACCCGGGCAGGCAGTAGAAGCTGGAAAGCCAGGGAGCATGGGGACTCTGGTGGCAGTTGCAAGAGAGTAAAATGGGGAGTGGCACTCAGACCAGGATCCTAGGGACCACAGTTTAATCTCCTAGGGGTGTTGTGCACAGCCCGTGGGCGGCCAGTTGAACAATCTTGAGCTATGTTACTCTTAGATACCGTCAGCCTTATCTCTAGCTAATGTGATGTTTAGGTGGGAATAGGAAGCGTAGTATTTCAAATATAAATTACTTTCCCTTTCACCAGAGGATATCTACCTTTGACTGCAAAGCTCTCTGTGTTGCAAAGTACAGGATTGTGAGTCACTGAGGGGGAAATATTCTTCACCCCTGCACCAGGCATAGTCCCTTGTGCTTCATCAGAGCGGGCATAGTGCAACAAGCCCAACCACTCAGCGCTTCCAGATTCCGTGTGTGCTGCTGAGACTGGCTCCTGCTGTTGGAATCACTTGCTTGGATGACAAATGTTTTATTGGGCCATATTTCCTGCAGGGGTGTTACCTTACCTGATACTCTTTAAAGGAGCAGCTGTTACCCTGACACAAAATTTAATTTCTTTCCAACAGTGATGAGTTAACCTCCATGGATGGGTTTCTCGGGAACTAAAATAGGATGGTTCCTTATACTCCCAACTCAGTGATATGCCTGTAATATCATGTTAGCAGGCTAGTAGTCATAATATATAACTGAAGGCATTCTGACTGGTCAGACAATCTGTTTTGAATTATTTCTGTATGGAGGAGCTGTAGGTAATATGTTTAGTTTAATTTCTGTTATGATTCATGGTAAATTTTAGATTTGATGTCACAGAGTATTCTTGTTCTTTATACAGATAATATACAGTCAAACTATAATAGTTTTGTAGACTCACTAGAATGACATTGTCATCATCTCTGATTTCTTTACCTTCACAACTACTGCAGGTAGTGTCCAGGTGATCAGTCCTTTATGACATAGGATTAGTTTATGCTGCACATTTCACTTTGATTTATAAAATGGGCAGACAGAGCTTATGGTGGGCATCTACCAAGGTTTCATAACTAACTAAAATTAATATTTGCTAGGGTGCATCCTTACATCACTGTATGCACAATGCTGACATACAGATGGTGCATGAACTTATTTCTGCAGGATCTTAAAATGCATTATGCCCCAAACGGGTTTAGTTGTTTACTTTTCACTTAACTACACACCTGATCCAAAGCTTCCCCGAATAAAAGGAAAGATGCTAGTGGACTTCCATGGGCTTTAGACCAAGCCCTTACACTGTACACAACTCTGTAAACATGAAAGTTTTACTGCAGAGTTGCACCAGGGGCAAATTCTAGACACCTACTTTATAGCAGAAGAATACAACTGTTTTAAGTCCATTCGATCCCCCATTAGTCACATAGCAGAAAAGCTGAATATGTTGTAAATGTAAACAAAGTACCTTCAAAATTCAATCTAAATTCTGCTCTCACTTTTCCTGATGCAAAAATCAAGCAGATAAAGCTGAAGTATTTCTCATGCTGTTTTCTAAGCAACTGCCTGCAAACCTAAGAAACTGACTTTCCTTCAGTGAAATATTGCACAGGAAATATAAACATTATTTCCTCTATAAAAGGGAATCTGTTTGTTTCAATCAGAATAAGCCTTTCTCTTTGATTAAACATGGACCTTAAGATTTGATGTTGTCTTATTTTGTAAGACAGAAAAATTCCCACACTCTAAGGCAGGAAAAGAAAGAGAATCTACCACGCAGCTGCTCCTTGGCCTGCTGCTGCTCCTACCTGGTCAGGTTATAAGGTACTTAAACAATAAAGCTCAAAATCAACTCTACCTTTAGATGGGTGAGAAGCACTTACTCAGCTAACTTGAGTCATGTTAATTGCATTTAGGGCCACTTATGTGCAGTTTAGAGACTACTTCCTCTTCACACACCCCCCCCCCCCCCCCCCCC